GTCCAGGCATATGGGCCTGGGTCAAAACTTTGACACCAAGGAAGAGACTAGCATGCCTCGATGTAACCCACGACCACGACGGGCCATACCTAGGATTCACATCAAGAACAACATTAGGCATATGAACACTGACAGGCGTGTCAATTCACGATGACGTCTGCCAGGCGGAGTGGAGCACCATGACCGATAGATGATGCCTACGCATGGCGCCGGTGATGGACAAGGCCGCAACATGGCGCCATCCCTATTGACATCTATAGGGTCGGTGGGACCTGCATGTAGGAGAAGAAGGGACCGGTGATCCCGAAGGCCTACGACTGTCTCTCGTTCTTCTCTTTCCCTCCACTGTAACATGTGCTTTCCCTTGGCCTATAAAAGGGAAAGCAGGGCATCCCATGAGGGGCATCTGACCAACGAACCCATCAAACCCCAAACCACGATATAACAAACACATGAGCGCACAATTGAGCAGCGACCGAGCTCTCAGCACCCGTTCATTTTTTCCACTAGAGACTTGGGACCTGTCCCTCTCTCGCCTGTTTGTAACCCCTACTACAAACTTTTGGTGCTAGTAACACGAGCAACAGCGACAAACTAGGTATAGGGACATTCTGCCCGAACCAGTATAAACCTTGTGTCCTCTAAGCACACCATCCGAGCTAGATGCGCAATACTAGAAATTTACTCGTCGGTGGTGACTTGAAACACCGACAAACACATCCAAAAATCCTAGGTAGTCACAGATGGAACCCTTTTTTCAAGGTAACGGTTGGCTACCTTGGTTCCATTATCTTGGGTTTATGTTCTTATTTCCATACTTATGTTTTATCCTTTCTCTTAGGACTGTATAAGTGCTATTGATGGCACCCATGTGTTGGCAAGAGTGCCCAGGCACATGCAGGGGCCATTTAGGGGTAGGAAACAAAGTTGTACACAAAATGTGATGGCAGCTGTTGATTTTGATCTAAAGTTCACATATGTGCTAGGTGGGTGGGAGGGTTCTGCTCATGATGCATTGGTTCTAGCTGATGCCATAGAGAGAGATGGGGTCCGAGTGTTCCTAAAGGTAACTTCATTACCCATAGCCAAATTATTTTTAAACCTTTATGTTCTGTCTTGTAAGCCAATCCACCACTGCCTTGTAGGGAAATTCTATTTAGTGGATGCTGGTTATACTTGTAGACTAGGGTTCCTGCCTCCTTACAGGGTGTTAGGTATCACCTGTCTGAGTATGGTCCTAGGCATAACCCAACTAATGCCAAGGAGCTGTACAACCTGAGGCACAACTCCCTTAGAGTGACCATTGAAAGGGCCTTTGGTGCTTGAAGAACCGCTTTTGAATCATAGATAACAAGCCATTTCATAAATACAAGACATAAGTCAAGCTTGTTCAGGCATGTTACATCTTACATAATTGGATCCTGGGATTTGGGGTCGATGCAGTTGTCCCAACTAAAGCAGAGTGGGATGCAAACCCTGCTTCTTCTTCTCTTGGTCCACATGTCAACTCTTTGCAGTCACAAGAGGTGCCTACCATGGCATTAGTTAGGGATGAGATCTCTGATGCCATGTGGGAATCTAGGGGTTCTTCTAGGACTTAGCTGTGCCTTTCATGTTTCACTGTTGGACATGTGTAATAAATTAAGGCTGCCTTACATGGAACTAGTGCTACATTGTTAGACATGTGTAATCTTTTATCCGTGGACACCAACTGAGACTTGTATTGATGATGCTTATCTGTTTTCTCTGCTACTCACTATAATGTGTTTGGACCATGACAAGTGTATTGTATCTTGGGTATTAGATGGCTAGGAATGGTGGTGCTACTGGTGGGTTTGTGGCTGCCACTGCGATGCTCCCTGGTGGGTCTGCCTTTGTCCCAGCTGGTGCAAATGCTGGTGCTCCTCCTGCTGATGCTGCTGCTCTTCCTACTAAGGCTGCTGCTCTTTTTGCTAATGCTGCTGCTGCTGCTGTAGCTAGGCCAGCAATGAGGTGGACAACCAACACCTCAGGCTTTGTCCTTAAGAGGATGAGCTAACTGATTGAGAGTGGGGCTAGAACTGATAAGGGATTTAAGGAGAAGGAGGTGAACTAGGTAGCCAAGCTCCTGAGAGAGTACAGTGGTGAGGAAGTGACCTCCACCTAGGTGTACAACCACTTGAGGAAGTGGAGGCAGATGTGGGGTAGAATCTACAAACTTAAGGACCTTACTGGAGCCCTGTGGGATGAGGAAGTGAGGGCAATCATGCTAGATCATGAGCATTACATTGGCCATATCAAGGTACTTGTTTATTAGGTTCCTACTTGTCTTGTTCTCTGTCTTGTTCACTGCATGGTCTAATAACCTAGGCAAAACTAAATGTAGGACCATCCAAAAGATGCTGAGCTTCTAAACACCCCACTGAGGTTCTACGATGAGATGCAAACAATCTGTGGTAGTGGTATGGCTAATGGCAGGTTTGCTGTTGGCTCAAATGAGCCCTTGGGTGTCAACTCTTACCAAGCTAACAGTGGCCTAGGAATGGTGGAAGGGTCACATGGTAACCATGGGGCTAGGGACAAGACTGAGTAGGGGGAAGGCAGCAAGGCAACTGAGCTGCTTACCTCTGATGGTGGTAGAAAGAGGAAGATGCCATACTTTAGTGAGGAGGAGGCCCTCATCACGACCAACATGACAGATGCAGTGAACAATGTAGCCAATGCCCTTAGAGAGACTGGCCCTGCTCATGTTGATGCTGACTTGTATCATGTTGTGATGGACATGCCTGGCTTTAGTGAGGAAGCCCTCATTGTTGCCTTCTCCCATCTGCTGGACAACAAAGCCCAGGCCACTACCTATGTGAAGATGGTTGACAGTCACAGGGTTCTGTGGCTAAGGACCTTCCTTGCTAAGCACTACTACATGTAGATGCTCTAGGGCTTGCCCTGGACTTGGAGGGATCGGAAGCAATTGAGGATTATATATGCAGTTCCTCCACCTTCCACCACTCTCCTTGACTGTCATACTATTCCTTTGTGGTTTGGTTGCTGTCATGTGGATGAGGATGAATAGGTGCAATAGCTGTTAGAGTACTTGTTTTTGGATGTATCAATTACTTAGAACTTCTAATCTGTACTTTATCATGTTTTAATGTCACTGTAATTGTGTAAACAGTTCTTTAATTAGTACCACTAAACACTTTGTCATGGTTCTTTGCTCAAATGTTGGAATAGCTACTCTTTTGCCTTATCCGTAAACTGTGTTCCATCTGCTGCATGGCGAGCTGTCTAGGCAACCAAATACCATCCCAACTTGACGATTGGGAGGTGGTTGGGAACACTGACAGCAGGACCAGACAAACAAACACAGTCCCGCATAGGCCTGGCCCAGTTGGGAAAAATAACCAAACAAGGTGGCGTTGCACCTATTGGGTCTGGCCTTACCTAGCCTGGCTAAGCTGGTACATGCAGGCTGGTGACGTCCAAGCAAACAAACACGCCCCTACGTCTATCATTTTTCCGGATGGATGAAGTATTATTTTAATAGACATATTGTTGAAGAGCTAATTATCACAACCGAAAAGTGTTCTCTAGCAAAGACAACCTTCAGTAGTGTCTATTGGCAAATATCAAAATTTGCAACAAATTTATTCTTAATTTTAGGGTTCAACTTTTTACGTGGGACCTACATGTATATATATACCCAACTTTCATACCGAGTCATTTCAAACGAATTTCAATCAATTTTGCTAAAATTCTAACGTGTGAGCGTGAGATTTAGGCCCCGTTTGGCAGGGCTTCACTTCACTGGTGAAGCCATTTTTTTGGACTCCACGAACAGCTCTGGATTTAGACGGTTTTGGTGAATCGTTTGGCAAAATGGCTTCCCTGGAGCATGTTTTAGGTTGGAGGAGGAGCCGGGAAGCCACTATTTTGGCTCATTCCCACCCCAAAGCTCTGAGGACACGTTTTAGGGGCTTCATCGGTGGAGCCGTTTCATTTACCCCGTTTGGCAAAAAGCGGCTCCAAAGCGTTGTCCCACCGTGCCCCTTAAATGTGGGCCTTAAATTCGAAGTCTAGCTTTAGACACTTCCACTTCATTTATGTGTATCGCGGTCGTGCAGTGTGGATGACTTCCACTTCATTTTCACGGTGTGGATGCCGTGTGTGGCGAAAAAAATCGCTCTCACCACGGGACATTTGGTATGATTTTTGGCTTAGTTTTGGCTGTCACCGTAGAAAATGCGGCCCCAAACACACCTTAAAGCAGTTTATTGGATTGGACATTAGTAATTTGGATTGGATGTTGGATCGTCCGCCTGATTCTAATCGGAGTTTCCCATTTATATATGGATGTAGATTCTGATCCATTACCACTCAACAGTAACCTATACTACTCGCTAGCTCTGTTGTCGGGACGATTGTTTGTTTGCAAGTGGTGCTAATATAGTAATATCCGTATAATCCGACACAGCACCGTCCATGGCAGAGGGAGAGTACGTCCTGTCCTCTTATTCCCATCCCACTAACCGCCTCGACCATGGCCATCGCCACTCCCCGGATCCCCGCAAGTACGCTACTGACGTGTGGGCCCAGGTTGCATATCAACGCAATTAATAGCCCGCCCATCGTTCAAAAAATAAGGACCTCTTTAGTTAGGCCGAATTCGACGCCTTGCCGGATTCATTGTGCGTCTAGTGCACTGTAGCATTTTGTTTGTATTTGATAATAATTGTCCAATCGTTGACTAATTAGGCTCAAAATATTCGTCTCGCAAAGTACAACCTAAGCTGTGTAATTAGTTTTTGATTTCGTCTATATTTAATACTCCATGCATGTACCACAAGTTTGATATGACGGGGAATCTTCTTTTTGCATAGTACCAAAGTTGGGAGTTGGGAGCAACTAAACAAGGCCTAAGCAGAGGGGAAGGGGACTAGGCGAGGACCAATCTCAAGGCGAGAACAGCCGGCCGGCGTCAGTCAGTGGAGGAAGAGCAGGCGACTAGGCAAGGGCTAGGCATGGCGTGCGGAGAAACGTCGCGGTCAGAGGCGTACCTCGCGGGGCCAGCGGTGCGGGAGGTGCGGGAGCTGGTGGCGGAGCTGTGCCGGCACTTCTACGCGCCGGGGTGGGTCACCGGCACCGGTGGCAGCATCACCGTCAAGCGCTGCGTTCGGCTGGCTGGCCAGTTGGGGCTGGGCTGGCCTGCGCACTCACACTTTCACTGTTCACGTGAACAGTGTTTTCAGACAGAAGAATATTTTCTCTCACAACAATCAGCCGGAACAATATTTTGGCTTATTTTTCAGTCCTGCCGAACAGACCCAAGGTCCACGACCCCGACGTGCCGCTCGCCGACCGCCTCATCGTGGTGTGTCGCCCTCCGGTAACCAGTTTCATTACAATTTCCGGACCGCAGGCCGGCTATATGTTTCCTGTTTCCAATTCAAAATTAGAGTCTGAAACGAAATCCGCATGAAAAATTCAGAAACTACTTTACGACGTTGTTTCACTGGAAAAGCTTATAACAGCAATTACATACTTGTTATGAGACTAACCTAAGTTTTAGTTACCAAGTGAGCTCACAAAATAAAGCTTGAGCTATTCAGGTGTATATGTAATGTTACTCTGCAATGTCCAGTTTTGGATAATACAGTACATTGAACGAACATGAGGGTTGACGTTGACATGCAGTGTCGAAATTCTGAAAGAATATATAAGATTTCCAGCACCGCACTGAATATCTCTGCTATTTCCATTTGCCAGGTGTGCAAAAGGAGAGAATGGCGGCAGAGGACATGTATGTGTTTTTCTGCAGATGGGAAGGTGCTCTCTGCAATAGCAGCAAAGCCATGGCCAAACAAGCCGCCATAGTGTACAGATTGTGCACCTCTGTTCATGAAAGTTTGTGATGCTCTTCGGTTTAGTTTTTGTTGATGCATCAGATCGTTTTTATTTCACTATCCTATCTAATCTCCTTTTTTGGAATTTGGTGTTTTGAAGGCATATCTGATGAGAGGAGCTGGGGCAGTAATTCACAGCCATGGAATAGAGACTTGCCTCGCGTCAATGCTTGATCCTGGTGCAAAGGAGTTCAGGGTGAATCCCCTTGCCCAAGCCTCCTTTTCTATCTTCCCTAAATATGTTTTTTTTAGAACGTGTCTGTTGACATGTGTTTCATTAAGAGGATTCCCTAATATGTGAAATTGGATATTTATCAAATTTTCATTTCCATGTCAAGGGTTTCAATTCCGCGTAAGACCTGAGTGAGTGGGTGTTTTACGAGGTTGTCAAAACCCCATTTCTGTTCTTAATAGTTTAATGTGTTGTCTAAAATTTGATGGAATAGGCTACAATACTAAACAAAGGTGCTACATTAATACTATACCCACTTTGGAGTTCTAACAAAGATATTGAGAAAGAACTAAAAAAAGGAGGGAGATTGAGAAGACAGTGACGTGTTGATTGATTTGTCAGCAATATCATACACTAGTTGGCGGATGATGATGTATGATATCCAAACTAGAATTTGTAGAAGATTCTGTTACATGCTGATTATATTTTAATGTTGTATTAATTAAAAAAAATGGCGTACTCAGTGCAGAGAGCCGAGCTCCCGCTCCGTGCGGGGTCTGGAAAGGATGTCAGTGGCAAGCCTTATCCTCGCCTGTGCAATGCGAGTAGACCGCGACTCGAACCCGGGACCTTCCGGTCATATGCGGTAAGACTCTACCGCTTGCACCAGGCCCGCCCTTCTTAATGTTGTATTAATTGCTAAAGTAATTTTTGTACAGAAAAACTTTATTATTTTACTAAGCTGAGGTTAATGCAGATGACGCATATGGAAATGATTAAAGCAATCAAAGCCATGGCTACCGTGATGAATTGTTTTTTCCTATCGTCGAGAACACTCCTTATGAGTATGAGCTCACTGACTCCTTAAGTGAGGCGGTATGTTGTCAATATCTTTTTCTAAATCATCTCCATCCCATCCTAGAGATACTATGTGTAGGTTCAAAGACAATCTTGTCATTTTGGAGTTTTCAGTTCTCATGGTGCTCTTAGAAACAGATATCATTCCATCACTGGGCTTAGGTAAGGATCTGAATTACCAAAAACAGGCACTTAGGGATTAAAGGCATATTCACGCTCTTTTAGTGAAGTACTATGAAATATAATTTATTTTCCTATGACTAAAAAGAATAAAGTGTGGATATTTTTTGGTGCGACATTTGTTTTGGTTCGTCTGTCTGCCTACGCCTGCGATCCCACGACATCTTAATTACTGATTGATCGTGCCATTCTCCTTAATTGAATATTGCATGCCATGTGATAGAGGAATCACGACAAAATAGAAAGTAGAAAATTATTGTGCTATCTATATACACATTGCATGTTTGTATGCACCAGCATACTTGGCAACGAGCAAAAGGAAAAAGAATTAACATAGAAGGAAAGAGAATTAAGACAAAAGGAATCTCTTTGCATTTCTAAGAACCTTGCCAAATCTGCCTACATTTAATTACTTTCTCTCTTTGCATTTGCAAAAGGGACAGCTTTTTCCTCCTTTCATTTGGTTTCACGCTCAAGTGTTCCATCGCCCTCGCTTGTTGTTTCTTGCGTGAACCATAGTTGATGTCATCTGTCTTCCATGGCTCAGTCTTCCAATCCCAAGAGAAGGTCTCAATCTCTCCCTGACCGGAGATCCGGCCTGCTAGAGGATCTCCTTGAGTCCATCGGGCAGCGTCTCGCGTCAGGCCACGACGCGGCGTCCTTCTGATCCGCTTGCTCCCCATGGCGCGCCGCCGTCCCGTTCGTGACCTTCGAGCCGCTCCTGTTGCTCTCGTTCGACCCCGACTCGGACCGCATCGGCTTCTATTGCGTCCCGGAGAAGGTCTTGTCCAAGACGCTGCCCGACGTGCGCAGCAAGGTGGCGTGCGGCTCCTCGTGTGGGTGGTTAGCGCTCATGGACGAGGTGGCGTCCGTGACGCTGCTGAATCCATTCGTCGGTGCCCGTGCCCCCCGCGTTGAGCTCCCGCCAGCAGGCGAACACGTCGCGGCGGCGTCCTCATCGGAACACGTGTCTAGGGTCCACGGCCGGTGGGTCCTCCATCCCACCAACGACTACAGGGACGCGGATGCGCAGGCAGAGCCATCAAGCTAGAAGACATGAGGGACGTGTTCTTCCGTGAGATCGTGCTCTCGGCGTCGCCTGCCGCCGCCGGCCGCGAGTCCGTGACCATGGCCATGCTTGGGTGCTCCACGGAGGTCGCGTTCTGCCGGGTTGGAGTCGACAGCGCATGGACGCTGCTCGACACCAAACTGGAGTTCTCCGTGGGGTTCATCGTCCACTGCCAAGACAAGTTCTTGGCGATCGACTGCACTGGAGAAATCTCCGTCTGCAGCAGCAACGCCGCCGGCGCTACTCCAACCGCGACGCTGCTGCCATCGCTGTCGCCACCTGCGAGGGTCTGCCACCGCAGCTACCTGGAATCAAACAGTGAACTACACATTGTGGGTGCCATGGTGAGCACGTTCCATGAGACACAGAGTTTCACCTATAGCAGCGCGATCTACAAGTGCAACCTCCACGACCGTACGCCGGAGTGGTCCAGGGTGAGGGACATCGGTGATCAGACACTGTTCGTGTCTAAACATTTCAATGAAAGCTTCAGTGGAATAAGTGTATCCAAGTACAAGGAGAACAAAATTTACATGTCTGAGCCATTGTATGGGGATCCATACAACTTGATGCATCGACTGGAGATCGTTGATATTGCTACCGGCGCATCCGAAGTGAAGCCCGTCCAGGAAAAGATGCAGGGTTCCGAGGCTCTAGGTTGGATTCGACCAAATCTCTGGAAGCTCTAGAGTTTGTGAGCCTACGACGCCGCGCACTCCATGACTGTGTTAAATTCATAAACTTTGCTTTTTGGATTAAATGTTACTTTAACGTTGGTATTTAATTTAACAGTATTGTTATTTTATCGTGCGATCTGTGTGTTTTTAGTATAAATTGTTAGATATGCGTAGCAACGCACGGGCACGCTACCTAGTATAGTAATAAATGTTAAAACATCTGCGCATTCGAGAAAAAAATAAATAAATGTTAAAACATGACTGACTAATTGTTCATTGTTGCTAATAACTTCTGAGCAGACCTAGTGCCGGAGGCTCCCACATGAGTGGGGTCTGGGGAAAGGGATAAACCGAGACAAGCCTTTCCTCCGTAAAATCTACGGAGAGGTTGCTTCAAACCCACGACCTGATGACTTAGTGAGACACTCTCACCACTGCACCAGGCCTACCCTTCTGCTGCTAACAACTTCTAATTGCAAAAATCATGACAGTTTACCCATCTTCAGAAACGAATTGCCCCCTTATTTGTTTTCTGCAACACTATATAGATTTTATATGTGGGCAATTGACGCGAACTATTTAACAGATTGCAGCATACCCAAAGACAACAGCTGTCCTTGTACGAAACCATGGAATATTTGTGTGGGGTGACTCCTGGATCAGTGCCAAGACACAGGTATGTTTTCTGTCTGAGTTTTCAAATGCTCCAGGTGTTGACTGCCGACTACCATTTCTTCGATGAACACTCACCACAACTTTCTTTATTTCTTATGAACATCCACTGCTTTAGATTTTTACTTCATGCTATGGCTTCACGTTTCAGGCTGAAAGTTATCATTATCTTTTAGATGCCGCCATCAAGCTCTATCATTTAGGTATTGATTGGACAACTCCTGAACATGGTCCAATAGCAAAGAAACCACGCAGAATTTTGAGCCCTGGAATTTCTAATGGAGGTCATGCTGCTGAATCACCAACGGTTAGTTCAGTTCATTGTTTCTAAAAAGTTTTGAGAACACCGTGTGTCATACTTTTTGTGTTTGTTGCTCATGTAATTTTCTGAAAGCTGTATTGTTCATACTGTTTCCTTAACATTTTGCGAAAGTTCTTTTTTTTTCATGTCTCTTCTCTTCAACTGGACCCTTCTTTTTTTGCTGTAGCAGTGTGTTGTACTTGACATTGAGGGCACAACCACTCCAATATCATTCGTGACTGATGTTATGTTCCCTTATGCCCGTGATAATGTATGAAAACATCTGACTTCTACGTTTGATTCTGAAGAAACCAAAGAAGACATCAAACTATTGCGCATCAAAGTAAGTAGTGAGTAACACAGACAATATAGGTTTGTGCTGTATAAGTGCCAGCAGAAACAATTTTTATTTGAAACTGATAGTTTCCACAGATTATTTTGTTTTATTCATATTCTAACTAATAGTGACCAACTATTCAGATTGAAGATGATTTAAGTAACAGAATTCTTGGGGCTGTGCCAGTTCCACCTGATGAGGCTGGCATAGAAGAGGTTATCGATTCGTTGGTCTCTAATGTTGAATCGATGATTAAAGCAGACCGGAAGATTACATCACTGAAACAACTTCAGGTACCCTAGTTTACAGTTCACATTCTTTGCTTATTTTCCAATTTTGTTATATTTCAACTACTCTAATTCTCTATATTAAGGGTCATATATGGAGGACTGGATTTGAAAAGAAGGAAATACAAGGAGTCATCTTTGAGGATGTTCCCGAGGCACAAAAGAACTGGCATTCTAGGAACATAAATGTATCATTTTGCTCACACACACATGTGAATTGTATAAGTCCTATTGTTATGATCCTTAGATCATTGGAGGATAACCATTGCCAGGAAGATGGCCGGACAAAGTCGGCGTGGAGGGGGACTAGAGTATTTAGGGGAATTGTTACGTCGACGGGCTTTACTTCGAAGGAAGTACGGAGGAGATCGAGGAACGCGAGAGCGAGCTAGGGTTTGGCGGGCAGGAGCCGTGGTGGCGGCGGCAAGAAGTGACGATGAACAGTAACAAGGCTGGGTACCCAAGGGAGACGGTAAGTCTCAATCCCAGGTTACCTCTTCTATTATAATTCTTTAATATTTATATAAGGAGATCTCAACGGTCTCAAACCTAATTCAATCCAATAACCAACTCTAATAGATAACCGTCCTAGATTCTAGGACCTGAGAATCAACAGGCCAGCTAAGCCGGACTCCTATCCAGGCGTCTACGCCTATAGACCTTACCGGTCATAACAGGAATTGATTGTTTGTTCTTTCTTCATTCATTTCCTTCTTGGTACATCACCTCTCTTTATATAGAGAGGACTCCAGGCCACCTAAGGAAGGCCCAATCAAATCATAACAAATCATATCCAATGCTATCTCTAATTGACCCAAATCTAATCCTATCTTTAACTGATCAAATCCTTCTAATTGATCTTGTGGCCCCTGGGCCCCTAATTGATGCCCCATAACTATTCAGGCATTGTTTTTTTTTGTAGCGACTTTGTTCATGAGAGCCTTGAGATTGTAACATTATACATTGCCAAACTGTTTTAGTCACTCATAGTTGAAAACAAATGCACTTCTGCGGTAAAGATCCAGAACTGCGACATTACAATTCACATTCCCAAATTTGTAGAGTATGTAATCACATTTTCTTGGATTAGGGCAGGGGCAAGGGTCTATAACAGCTAGCACATTTTCGCATGGAGCTAAATCATATATACTTTCAATAGGTTTACATATACTCAAGTGGCAGTAGAGAGGCACAAAGGCTTCTATTTGGCAATACAATGTATGGTGACCTGAGAAAGTTCCTGTGTGGGTATTTTGATACCACTATCGGTAAGCTCTGATTTTTGTTCCTTCCATTTGCCTATGAGTCAACATAAAAGAAAAGAAAATGATTTCATTCTCTTTCATACACAGAAATAAAACAGATTCAGGTAGTTATTTAGCAATGCATCCCTTGTTCCATTCTTCTTTACAATCAAAATGTTGATGCAAAAATTTTGATTTAAACTTGTACGTACAGGAACAAAAGAGAAACTAGGAACTATTTTGAGATCTTTCAGTCACTTGGGGTCGACAATCCATCTCAAATCTTATTCATAACTGATGTCTTCCAAGAAGCCATTGCTGCAAAAAAACGTTGGTAATTACTAGTTCACTCTATAATATTGAACTTGTGCAGACCAAATCGTGTATATGTGCTTCCCACGTCCTTCGGGCCATTTCAGATCTATTCTGTTTTTGCACAATATTTATTTAGTTTTTAACTTTGTGCGGTGCTAATCATGTAATCATGTCATGGTATCTTCAAGTTTTTGTGTCTTATGGTCATGTGAAATATGAAAAATGCTGAAGCAGTCATTAACTCATATGTTTGATATAAACTTGCATTTTTCATGCGGTTTTGAAATATGGTCTTGTATCATTAATATCAAATTAGCACCGAATTTCAGGTTTTGAGGTGGTAATATCTATCCATCAGGGAAATGCTCCGGTTCCTGAGAATAATGGTTTCCGCACTATCAAATCATTCAGCGAGATCTGAGGAATATGGGGTTCTAGAATGCTTCCTGGCCTCCTGGCTAATAATGCACCATATCAAATTCAATAATTCATGGTTCAACACGGCAGCACAATACGAGAAATAATAAACTGAAAACTCATAAGTGTGCATTATCTATTTATGCGTCTCTATGCCAGCCGATGATTGTTTTGCAGCTCCACTGCAATAAGATAATAATATTTGTTACAGTGAGAGGGCTGACTTCATTTTGTTATTTTTGCCTTCCTGCATTACAATGAAGAGAATCTGAGTCCTATTACCATCGATGTACTATTACACTGCTCTGCTAACTTAAATTCTGTTTTCCTATCACTAATTTATTTATAAATTAAGAAGTGGTAGGTAGTCCAGAGTTATTTCGTGGAGCTGTAGCATTAAAATTTTAAAATCCTATTGGAGTTTGTTATTTAGATGGTGCTATGATTGTTTAAACTACTTTACTGTGGATTTTTAAAATGCACATGTGGTAAATACCAAAATTTTATGATTGGTCGATAATAATTGCACTAAAGCATGTAAGTGTTATTGACTGCTGCAACTTGCAAGTTAGCAACGCTTCTTTGTGAATGTTTCCAACTCTATTACGTATGAGTTTTCTTACGTTAGAACTTTGAGAGTATAGGGTAGAGTTGGAGTAAGAGTCTTTGAAAGCCCTAGTTTGGTTTTGTACTAACCCTTGTCATTAAGTGTTGTGATTGAGCTAAGGTGGTACACATCAAGTGGTGAAGCTAGAAGATGGTCATGGTGATGGAGGTGACAAAAAAAAGATGATCAAGTGCCCCAACTTAAAAAAGAAGAAAGAGAAAAACAAAAACCAAGGTTGATCAAGGCAAATGTATCAAATAAGTTTTTGTTTTGGCACTCAAGACACCATAGAGGTGTGAGTGTGTTTAGAATAGATAGCCGTACTATGAAGAGGGGAAAATCATGGTTAAGCGGTTATCAAGTGCCACTAGGTGAAGTTGATCATGCATATATATTAGGGCCTAGTGTGCTAACAATTAACCCTTGAAAAATGCTAACACACGTGCACTATGGTAAGACTCTTTGTGGTTAACAACTTAGAAGCAAGAGTGAAGAGGTTGAAGTGTTAGAAAATGAAAAGGAGAAGTTCAGAGGGATCGGACTCTGGGTCTCAGTGTGACCGGACCCTGAGGACACGAGTCCGGTGCCTAACCCTTGGTCTCGGCTAGATCGGCTGGCTGGACTGGACCCTAGCAGAGGCGCGACCGGACCCATGGCACCGAGTTCGGTCATGAGCAGCAGAGGCAGCGTAGCAGCAGGGCGGGACCGGACCTAGGCGTGGGGGCATGACTTGACGTGCCCCTGGCACTGTTCCTCAGCCGACACAGCGTGCAATAGGCGACCAGACCTAGTAGCGAGTCCGATCACTATTGACAGGACATGTCCGGTCAAGAATTTCACGTTATGGACCTCTTTGTGTTGAGATCAGATGCTCGGCTGAGGAGAGTCCGGTCACGCACAGGCGAGTCTGGTCCTAACTTAAGCAAGCGCGCGTACGTGAGATGACTATTGGGATCGAACGCTTGATGTTAAACGATGATGACACGTGGCGGCGATCTGGTGACCGGACTCTGGCACCGGTGAGTCCGGTCAATTGCACATGCGAGTCCGGTCACCTCACAGAGAGCCCAATGAAAGGGTATAATGGCTCTATTCTTTTGGGGCTCTATAAATACTTGTTGGCCAACTCTAGCCCACTCTCTAGCATATTTTTATTAGTGATACATCCTTGTGAGCTAAAGCAAACACCTCCCACTCATCTCCTTCATTTATTCATCATCATAGTGAGATTGAGAGTGATCCAAAGTGTATTTGCTTGAGTGATTGCATCTAATGGCACTTGGGGATCGTTTGAGCTGCGGTTTTCTTGTTACTCTTGGTGGTTGCCGCCACCTAGATGGCTTGGAGCAGCAGAGGAGCTTTGGCATGAGTTGGTGATTGTTCGTGGCCATCTCCCGGTGATTTATGAGGGTTCTTGTACTTTCCCTAGCAAAGAGCCAAAATATAACTCTAGTAAATTACTCATGTCATTGAGTTATCCTCACTTGTGGGTAGGTTCTTGTGGCGTCCTAGTGTAGGGCTTTGTAACAACCCGGGTTTTTGGAGAAGCCAAAAATACGAACTTTTTAAAATTTTTCCTGCAATGTGTGAAGCATGTAGATGCTAGGTCAAACAAAGAACAATTTATAAATAAATTGTTGCATACATATAGTGTTGCTTGTAGGAGCTTGCCAAAGTTCCTTATTTGGTTTAGGGTTTTGTGTTGGAGAGCACAAGTCCGTAGCGAATCCTTTTGACTCCTTCTGGAATCTCTCATGAACCCCTTGACCTAAATTCTATAATCAACCAACTATCTTTATCAACTCAATACCCGTGAATTGCCAACCCTTGACATGGACCCCACTACCCCTAGTTGACCTCTAGTGGACCCCACTAGAAGGTGTACAAGTTGGCGACACATGTATTCAATATAGGAGCCTTGGTTTATTTAGAAAATAGGAAAGCCAATCTGGCCCAAGCACATGACCAGCCAGCCCAAGATGCGCGACCGGCCCAACCCTCCTCCTAGCCCCGCACGTGCCTTCGGCCCAGACAGAGCACAGCAACCTGCTCGGCCTGCCTCCCCGAGCTGGCCCAGCTCACGCGCCATCCTCTTCTCCTGGCCGCATGGCCCAACTGTCAACCGGCCGGCCCAGCATGGCCATAAGCTCAGTAGCACTCGCAGGCCTCCCACGTGCTTGCCCCAAGATCGCCGCCCAAGCGCGCGCAAGCCGGCCGACAAGCCGGACCCGCCTGTCGGTCCGTCACGCACGCACGCCGCCGCGCGTCGATAAGGCGACAAACCGGACCCCATGCGTCGCCCACCCCAAAGAACAGATCATCTTCCTCCCCACGCTAACCTCTTCCGTGACCGAGAGCCGACCACGGAGCAGACACGGGCCTGGGGTCACGCACATCGCATGACCTTGTTCCCTCTTGCACCGCGCCTACGCTACCGCACGTAGGCCATTAGATGCGTCGCACACATCACCACCGCCCGATCGCCGTCCGCCATTGGAGCCCTTGGAGCTCGGCTATAAAAGCCAACACCCACGAGCCCTAACCATCAGCCCGTTCGCCGCCGCCGCTGGTGGCACAACACCACACCGCGTCAAGCCGAGAGAGAGGGAAGAGGAAGAAGCGAGGAGGAGGAAGGAAGTCGCTGCGGAACCGGACCTCGCCGGAGTCACGAGCACCGCCCCGATCGGCTATAGTGATGTAGCTGCTCGGCACGGCACTGCATCGCCTCATCACGGCCTCGCCTCACCACCGCACCGCCATCCTACCGCCATGAGCCCTATGGTGAGCCACGTTGTTCGCCGCTCACCGCGCTAGTCGTACTCGCCATGAACACCACCACGTCCCCGCACCTGGGGAATGCAGAGGCGGAGCATTCCTGCTCCTGGACACGCTGCACACACACCGCACGCGCACAAGCCCAAGGCCTAGCCTCACCGACCCCTAGCGGCTCGGGAACACCGGCACGACCACTCCTAGCCTCTCGGACGCCATGAACGGACCATGTCGGAGCACGAGCTCTTGCTTCGGCTTAGCCAACCGGTAGCATAGAAGAACCACCACGACCCTCTTGTTGAGCCAAACGAAAACACGAAGCATAGAGAAGAAAGGGGGCGACACCGAGCCCTCTGCTCGGGAACGCCAGCGCCGAGTGTTCTGCTTATGCCATGCGTACGCATCGCACGCACACACGCGCTCACCATGGCCAGAGCACAACCATGGCGAGACCACCGCATGTTCTACGTCGCGGTAAAGGCGACGTTGACACCTTGACTGGCTCCGCCATGACAAGAGACACACCGCGCTCACCTTAGCCGAGGATGAAGCCCACCGGAGCCCTACGTTGCCGCACCGCACCTTGTCGGAGCGCCACCGCCTCCGCTTTGCCCCAATCATCGTGGTCGGAGGCGTTGAGAGCTCTCGGAGCCCTTTGACCTGCTCACCATGGTCGTGGAAGCACCGTGGAGCTCACATGCTCCTCCAACTGGGCTCTCGCTACCACTGCAGCCCTGTCCATGCACGCCGACGAACCCACGCCGCCGTTCACCGTGGCCAGCCAACTAGAGCCACCCGACCACCATGTTAACTTCACCTGGACACCTGCCATGGCCAGGCCAAGTTTTTGCCCACCTTAATTGCACACCCGCGCTATTGTAGGGGCTCGCTGATGAGCTCACCACCAGCGGGAGCACGACGGGGAAGAAGATTGTAATTTTCCCCTCGTCGGCCACACGTCCGAGCACTTGGTGCACGTGAACCGAACACGGGGAAGGAGTAAGTGGACCAAGTCCTTCATAGACCGGCTCTGCGGTCTATGGACCAACGCAGGCGGGTTCACCATGAACCGCGCCTCACCTGTCAGACACCGTTTGACCCCGGACCCACCTGTCAGCCACGGTTTAGCTCGGATGGCGCCATGCTGACGTCATGCCGATAAAGAGACCACGCCAGCGTCGGGGACTTCGGCAATCTCACCGACCACGATGGCGACCACTTTGACCAACTCAGCAAGCTCTCCGACCACCCCCGCGATCTCTCCGACCACGTCGGCGAGCTCTCCGACCACTTCGGCGACCACTTCGACCACCTCAGCAATCTCACCGACCACGTCGGCGAGCTCTCCGACCACTTCGGTGACCTCTCTGACCACTTCACCAGCTGGTACACCACTCCAAGTCCCTTCATGCCACATGAACCAGTCACAGTGTGACACATATCAGCCCTGAATAAATCAGCCCTAATTATTTTCAGAAATGGATTTAATCTTCGGAAAGTCATAACAAATTCATATGACCTCAGAAAAATGTGAAACCAGTTCCCACATTTTTCTAAAATCAAGCTCTATGCGGTGGACTTGTCCCCACCTGCTGTTCGTGCCGCAAAACTCGAGACCAAGATCT